ATTTCAATCTGTACATGACATATGATGATAATCACTAAACTAATCCAATTTTTTCTGCCTCATAATTTTGCATCTAAGATCAAATGACATTGACGATAAATTATACCACCAAAGCATCATCATAAATTTTTCCATAGTTTTTCACTCAAATTGTTGTTCTTGAAACAAAAAAAAAACTGATCTAACGTACAACCAACAAATGCCAAACTGCTCCATAAATTTACACTCAAATGCACCATGTTGCAAAAAACATTCCAACAGTTCAAAAAAGTATCATATCAATGCCATATGTCACAACTTAAATGGATTAACTCAAAAGGCAATACCAAGCTTGATATAGATTGAACCTGAGATGGCTTTTGTGCAAGAAACAGAGATGATTTGCAACTGAGACTAATACATGTCCCTTTCTCCCTTGCTTGTCTGATAGTTTTGAGTTTAGTTGGAAAGACTTTATTTTTCCTAATAAAAGTTACAGGATATCCAATTTCCTACAAGAATTCACTTGTAACAACTGCTTTGATGCAGTGAATAAAAATAGTCAAGTCACTTTATTTTAAAGGGTGATGAAATATTATCAAATGTTAAATTTTGATGGTGTTTAATGATTTCATAGTCTTCCAAACAACTCCTACATAAAACTACTGCCAACAAAAAAACACAATGCAAAGTGTACAAGGAAATTTAAGATGTATGCCTCATTAAAAATAAACATTCTCGATTTCAAATAAATTAGTGATGGGTAATAAATCACTGAAATAATAAAGAGATAATATAATATGACAACGCAAGACTCACAATTTTTGTGGCAGTATCTTCATATGAACTTTTATATTGACGCCCCTCAGTTCTTTTGCGTGTGACTTCATACATAGTTGATAATGGTATGTCAACATCATTTGGAAGGGTAGTTTGCTGTGATAAATAGAAAAATCATTTGTAACATTATACAGTTAACAAACAATAAAAAGTTGTTACACAAAATATGTATGGTACCAATTTTGCACGAAGTCTGGCAAAAGACTTGCTACCCGTCATGGGGGTTATCTTTTCGGAGAGCGCGATTAGCCTTCTTACGGTTACATTGTTGCTACATTGAATGTTCGCAAAAATTTAGTCTTAGCAAATGTGAAAGAATAAAATTAAAAATAGAATTACATTTATATTTTATTTAATGTACCTGGTAATCTTTACAATTCCACAATTTTAAGAGCATTCGAAAATCTTTTTCAGGAATCTCTTTTGGCCGCTTACTCCATCTGCTCTTATTATCCTTGTACTGTGAGCAAAAATTTTCCTTGAACCGACACTTGTGAACTCTCTAGGCTGATCCAATTGTACTCAATACCCATTTTTTTCCATTCAGGTCAACGTCATATTTGGACTATATAAGCGGGTAAAAAGTTAGTTATATTAGCTTTAAATGTTATAATATTTAATTAATTAAAAAAAAATCTCGTAATTAATCTCAAATATGAACTTTCTTTTTATAATTAATCTCGTAATTTACATGTATGTAATTCATGTATAATATTAATTACAGGGACTATCTTCTCAAAGCGAGCAAAGGCCACTCACAAATTCATAAACATGTAAAAATCCAATTAAATGAAAAAAGCATCACCAAAAAAGTAAGAGACTAAGAGCTCTATAATACATACCAGTACATAGTCCCACATGTTGTTCTTGTCCGGCATACGTTTCCAAGTTCCAACTACCAATGGAGCAAACTCATAACAATGAGCGATTGTCCCCAAAAAGGATGAGAATTCATCTAGTGTAGCATCATCCGGTCCAATTGGCTGACCAAACTTATTTAATATGCTGCATACACGATGTTCTCGCATATGCACTGCATGCATCATTGTAGGACCCCTAGTTTTTTTTGTTCTTTCCGAATCATCTAAATAATACATCAAAAACATATCATTATTACATTTAATGTAAACTGTCTCACTGATGAGAGATTATAACTTTATAAGTACTTGAAGTTGTTGAAGTCCTTTTATATAGAAAGGAACTGAAAGCACTTACGTGATCTTTTTTGTATCTCACCACCTGTCACCTCATGTTCAAGCTCCACTTGTTCACTCAGACCGTCATTTTGTTCATCTTCAAGGTGTTCATCAATCATAGCATCGCTAATATTCTCTTCTATATCTTTGTCACCACCTGCTTAAAATAAGTAGTAAAGTCAAACCTCTGAAATTACTGAAATTGCCATTAACAACAGTTATTGTCCTCAAGCAAGTATTAAAAATTACATAATTTTTAACCATAATAAGAATAGTCCAATATATGATTGTTATATTTTAATTGATCATATTTTAATTAAATTTGCCACATTGTTACATGGAAAAAGAATCTCACCCACCTATTCTCTTTCCTTCTTCCCTCCGCTACAAAGTAGTGGGTGATCTTAAAAGGTCAATACGACAGAATATATTAACTTGACATAGAGTGTAATGTCTAATACAGAGTGTCCGATTTTATTATATTATTAGTACATGTAAACCAAACCTTAAACCTAATATGAGCAGTATTGGGTATTTGGCAGGATGAACATTTAGTGATAGGGAATTTAGGTGATTCTCGGGCTGTTATATTATGAAAAAATCCGCTAATAAACTGGTCTCTTTCATATATTGAAAGGATATTATGAGAAATCCAGAAATGAGTAACTCATACCTTCCTCTCCACCGAAATCTTCATAGAAATCAAAAATCTCTTCATCTGTCCACGCATCAATACCAATATCCTCTTGCACTGTATTATTAGGTGAACTCATAATATCTATTTTTCAACAAATAATAATATTGTGCGGGCATAATACACTATGATCCAATCAAATAACCACAAAAACATAATATCAACTTAATACCGTTATTTTCAAGATGGCGGTTATGATTTTGAAATTCAGAATGAACTTTTGACCCTGGCTCTTCACATTTTTCCCTTAAAAACTCAGCCATATTGATAACTGCATGACATGGTGGACTCTTTTTTTTTATTCTCTGTAGATTGTTTTGGAATAACATTGTTATGCGCAACTTTCTTCACAGGAACATCATTGTTAGGCACATCGTATGTTGTGACCTTTTTCTGAGATTGATTTTGGTCCATTGGTTTATATGCTGACATTCCTTGAGGTCTCTTGTCCCTTAGAACCCTGTGAAGTGATAATGGTGCAATGCACTTTTGCTTTTTCTACAAAATAACACAAAACCTTAGATACAGTAAACCATAGCCATAGTAAATTACTTTCAAGGTACAAAAGTAATAATCTGACATGTAAAACATACCTTCTTCACCATGCTTACCCTTTCTGTGACCTCTAAAGAATTGATTTCTTCATTAGGATCATAGTTAGGATCATTTCTAGGCTTGTCCTTTCTCTTTCTCGTACCTTTGCTGTCCGCCAAACTTGATAGTGATTCAGAGATAAGCGGAATATTCAATTGGCGCATCCTTTCCTTGTTCAGCTCAATTTGTTCTTCCCGTTGCATCTCATAGTTTGTCAACGTTCTTTCACACTCAACTGATGTTCTCTTCTTTGCTATGTTTCTAGCAATACTTTTGTTGTTGACTTTGTCCATTACCTGAAACACACCTATACTTTATATTTTGGTTGCCACCTTATGTTACATTCTTTTATTAGTCCAAAAGAAATCCCTAACACTGCATAGAGGGTGATGTCATGCTCACAACTCATTGTTGTTCACAAAACATACAAATCATTGAAGAAATTTGCTTGCTTAAAGATAAAATAGCACTAAATCCATATCTTATCTGCAAAGAAATTGTAATATACTTCAAAGATGCTCAAAAATAGTACATCATAGCAAGGAAAATTAGAGTCTTACTCGATAAGGTTAACACCAAATAGTCTACCAGTCTAATGGTTGAAATCTAGCTAAAACCAATCAAGATAAAGCATCTTATATAAAAAGAAAGGCAAAAGTGAATAAGAGAAAAAAATCAAGATATTGCTAAGATTAAAAAAAGGGCAAAGCAAAGTTAATAATCTTCTTCGTCACTAGCATGCATCCAATCCCATAGTGTGTCATCTTCTTCTTCTTCAGATTCATTTTCAACTGCAGTGCTTGATTGACCAACATTCACGGTCTCTGCTTCAGCATCCAGAATGATTGGAGCAAGGTCTTCTCTAGCCAGATAGATGTCATCCAAAACAACACAGGGAAAAGACTGAACTCGATGATCTATAGGCTCCTGCCAGTAGTTATTTTGTGTATCTTCATTAATTTGTGTCTCTACTTCAAAGAAATTTCTAGGAATTATTTCCATGACATAGCATAGGTCACTGTTAATAGGATCTGACACATAAAAAACTTGATTCACTTGAGATGGAAGGACAAAAGGATCATCTAAAGAGCAAAATTTTGAGGAGTTAACACATGTGAGCCCGTAGTCATCTTTCTCAACTTGATACCATTCACATCTGAACAACACAATCTTGAACTTTGACCAATAATTTAATTCAATTATATCTAATACTGCAGCATAGTAAACAACATCACCAATGATTGGATTATTGTCTTTAGAGCTGGCAAAACTATTGGTCATAGCTGTTAAAGTCACACCACTATTCTGAGTTTTGCATCTTTCATCACGACCTTTTGTATAAAAATGATAACCATTCACAAGATATCCAGAATATCTCTTTGCACTTGGACATGCGCCTTTAGCTAACCAGAAAATGTTGTCAGACACAGTTTGATATGATACTTTATCCTTTAACCAATATGTAAATTCATTACTGCGGTTGAGATCTGTTGCCCATCTGGTTCGTTTTTTGCTTCTCGAGACCTCATCTTGATGTTCACTATTCAAAAAGGTAGAAAAACTCAATAAGGAAAAAAGTAAAATAAAGTAAGGTGTCATATATTTACTCTCTTACCGGATCAGATCTTCTAATTCTACGAGGTCAAGTCGGGCTTTAGTGCGATCCTTGGTTTTTCCTGGAATATCTAATAATGTTCCAACTAAACTATCACAAATATTCTTCTCTATATGCATCACATCTAGATTATGTCTACATTCATTGAATTTCCAATATTGTAATTCAAAGAATATAGACCTTTTTTTCCAAGCGCAACTACTGTCTGTTTTCTTCTTTTGTGACTTGCCAAACACATTGTTAAATGTTGATAACTCCTCAAGAACATCAAATCCAGTTAATGGCTTAGGTGCAAGCCTTTTCTCAATTGATGTCCTTCTTTTTCGCTTTGGATGTTTAGAATCTAGAAACATACGATGACCCATGTATACCGTTTTCCTACTATGCTTGAGATACATAGGAGTATCATAATTGCATTCGGGGCAAGCAAACTTACCTTTGGTTTTATAACCAGAGAGCATAGAGTAACCGGGGAAGTCACTAATTGTCCAAAGTAATGCAGCATGTAATCTAAATGTCTCGTCTCTAAATTTATCATATGTCTCAATACCTTCAGTCCACAAATCCTTCAAATCTTCTATCAATGGCTGCAAAAACACATCGATATCATTTCCAGGAGATTGTGGTCCTGGAATTAATAACGACAACATCAGATATTCTGATTTCATGGACAATGATGGGTGAATGTTATAATTGACCAACACCACTGGCCATGTACTATGCGCAATACTCATCGTTCGGAATGGGTTAAATCCATCACTTGCAAGCCCTAATCTCACATTCCTGCTTTCTTTTCTGAAACTAGGATGAAGTGAATCGAATTTCTTCCACGCTTCACCATCGGCCAGATGTCTTATCTTACCATCCCTTGGATGCTTTGTATCATGCCATATCATTTGTTCAGCAGTTTCAGAGCACATATACAACATTCTTAACCTTGGTTTTAAGGGAAAGTACCAGAAAACCTTAGCTGGAACATTTCCTTTATGCTTATGCTTTTTGTTTTCCTTCAATTTCCACCTAGAGGTGTTACAATACCTACATGATTCTAAATTAGCATCTCCTTTCCAGTAGAGCATGCAATCTTTAGGACATGCATGTATTTTTTGGTAATCAAGTCCAATGTCCTTGACCATATTCTTTGCTTCATTGAAGGATTCAGGAAAATTATCATGAGGAACTACTTCTTTAAAAAGACCCAGCAGTTCAGAAAAAGCGGTGTTGCTCACTCCGTTGACTGTCTTGAAAAGTAAGAAAAAAAATTGTGAAAGAAAGAACAGTAAAGTTTTTACATTCTGGATATAGTTCTTTGTTTCCCTCCTCCAATAAAGTATAAAATCTTTTTGCATCTTCGTTCATCCCGCTTTGATTTTGACCGTCATGAATTCCTCGAAATCTGTCAGCTAAAAGATCATCAATATTGTCATATTGATCAATATTGTCATATTGATTTGTATCGTTTTTATAACCCCTGTGATCAGCTGACATAGGTCCCTCTCCATGAAAGTTCCACTTCAAATAATTCTCTACAAATCCCCTTGCTATCACATGATTCCACACTTCATCTCTACGATACCAGTAACGATTTTTACATTCTTTGCATGGGCAAAGAATTTGACCCCCACGATCGATTCCTTTAGCAAAGGCTTTATCAAGGAAACTACACAAACCATTCTTGAATTCGAGTGAAAGTCTATGAGTATACATCCAAGTCCTATCTCTCTCCATTACCTTAAAGTTCATTAAAAAGGGATAAATAAATAAATAAATAAATAAATAAATAAATAAATAAATAAATAAATAAATAAATAAATAAATAAATAAATAAATAAATAAATAAATAAATAAATAAATAAATAAATAAATAAATAAATAAATAAATAAATAAATAAATAAATAAATAAATAAATAAAACATAGTAAAGTAAAAAAATGAGCTTAATTAGAATAAATAATTAAAGGTGGTTCTCTGGCAGAGGAAGTAAAAAAAAACTAGCAAAAGTCGGGATTTTCTGAAAAAGGAAGTAAAATGTATTTTGTTTTTCCTTTTGATTTCACTATATAAAAAGACATCTTTCACAAGGTTGTTGAAATCCTCCTGTTAGACTTTAGCGTAGAAAATGTTTTAAAAAAAGACTTCAGCATAAACAAAAGAACAATTACTAGGTCCTTTTCCTGACAATAATGGCAGAGATCACGCGAATCAGCTCTCTGTCAAACAAAGCTTACGGTGTACCATAAAGTAACAGGTTAACATGAATAAAGAAATAGCCTTGTTTTGAATAAGTTGTCATAAAAAACAGCCTTGGACTGCTCTAAATAGCTAAGCAATGACCTTTAGGCACATTTTTGAATAAAAAACAACATAACAGTAAGAAGAAAAGTTCAAACATGCCTCTCACATTTAATGTTAAAATATTAAACAATCAACAAGTAATAAATAGAAAAAAGAGGTTTTGTATCACCACCCTAATACCTAACTTGGACGATGTTAAAAACTAAATTATAATGCCCATTATTACCAATTAATCAAAATTGGTAAGATTTTGTGAAACTAGGATGGAGTATATCGAATTTCTTCCACACATCACCTTCCAGAGTTTTCTATCAATGAGCGGGGAAACTATTCATACATTCTTTTAGGATATTCATTAAGATAGATTATATTACGTATATAAAAAATATATAACCAAAGCTTCTGTAAGAGAGGAGGAGATCAAGTAAGTACGGGGGAGGGAGTGAATGACTTAAGCAGCAGGTTGGAGATGATTGATTTGTGGGACGATCTGAAAACGATAAGGGAGGAGATCAAGATTATGATACTCATAATCCAAAAGAACAACCTAAATTCGTTTTACCAGAATAAAACTTAAACCAAGTTTCTATTAGTTCAATTAGATAAAAACTAAATACAAATTCAAGGCATTCTTTTGAAGAAGACATTCACGATGTTCAAATATACTAAATCTCAAATTGAGAAAAATTAAAACCCTAATCAGAAATCAAACTAGAATAATCGATTACTCATTAATCTACTGGCATGATATCCGTATGAACATCCAACAAGAAGGTAAATAGCGTGCCTAAGCAGAAGATAAATTGTGTACCGTAGCAGAAATGGTCGGCGATGGTTGAGCTGGTGGCGGTACGTTCTGGAGCAAGCGTGGCTCGGGAAGTTAGAAGCAGGCAAGCTTTTAATCGCGGTGGATTGAGAAAGCTCGAAGGAGGGGAGCTTCGCTATCGTGAATCGCGATGGATTGATAAAGCCAGGAGGCAGGCTTTTGGAGCCGACTGGAAGAAAGGAATTTGGTCAAAGGATTGTGACCAAATTTGATTAAGGGTAAGATCTTACTCCTGGGCTAGAGAGTTATTGGCGCGAACGTGTAAATTTTAACAGCGGGCAGGGAATATATTTTAAAAGAGTGGGATTAGCAAACAAATCAAAATTAAAATGTTAAAAAATTTTATTTTAGGAGTATATGTTGCATAAGACTTGATCAGAAGCAACGTTCCTAACAAGTGTTACATAAAATCTGATCGTAATTTTTTTTATTTATCAATTGCAACACTTAAAATATAAGTGTTACATTATACTTAATAAAATGCAATACTTTACAATAAGTGTTGCATAAATTCATACGCCAAAGGTTTGAGCAACATTTATAATCAAGTGTTGCATAATAGTAGATCTAAATAGTATATGTAACATAATTAATAAATGTTACAAACAAAGTGTTACAAAAAGTCAATTTTGTTGTAGTGTGTATGTGACGTACTCAACGACGTGAGAGCAGTGGACAAGCCATCCAACGTACGTCAACATTACACAATGAATGACGCAAGCAGCGCCTTAGACCATTTGTAGTGGTGTAGGATTAGGAATCCAAAATGCTAAAGTTGGAAATTTTAGACTCCTAATTCAGTGTAGTGGTGTGTTAAAAGAGGGGTTAAAAGTGGGAAAAGGGATGGAGGAGTGTATTTTTAGAGGGGTGGGTTGACAGAGTGAGTAAAGGAAAGAAGGAAAGAAAAGACCAGTCGTTGGTTTTCTCTTGGTACAGATGATGTCATGCTTTTGTCATAACACCCCAATTTTTTAAAAATTGTTATAACTTTTTTAGTTTTACTCCAAATTTTTCAAATAATATATCAAAATTCCTAACTTTTTATAACCTTTCAAATGACACCAATATTACATGTATAAAGTATAAAACAATTTTCAAATTTTAACTGTTGGAGTTTTCTTGATTCCAAGAAAATACGAAACACAAATTTTTAATCCATGGAGTCTCAATAAATAACTAAGTATTACATGAAATCATTTTATTCTTTATTAAAACTAAAAAATTAACAAATAATATTAACAATTTTCTTAATGAAATTTATTTTTTCTTACATCAAAATGTGTATTTTTATTTCATAATCATTTAGGGGAAAAAATTAAACAAAAAAAAATTACGTATAATAATTTAATTGATGTTTTACTAAATCGATATGTAAAAAAATATGCTGAGTGTACTTTATTGACGGTAATAGGATGTAGGAAAATAGGAGTCTAAACACTGTTTTCATATGGACGGAGTCCATATTTAACATTTTAGACTCTTGACCACTACAAATGGTCTTAATGTGGGGATAAGAGAAGCCATCTTACCTCACCCCAATAGTTATTAACTTCATTTCTCCGTATATGCTTTCTGCAGTCCAGGGAGGTAGGGAGCTTTTGTTGGTGATTTTAGTGTCACCGGCTGTTTTGTGTAATTGGAAATGACATGAGTGCCAATGGGAATTAGAACTATGATCTAATACAAGTTAGTAGGTGTGGAGTGCACACTTGTATATAAGAACTAGTTTAGTTCTAAAGTGTCTACGTTAGTGGAACTCGAGGTAGAACTCGAGGTATAACTTTCAGTAGACCAGCTCTGTGGTTCTAGACCGAGTTCTAGAACGGTTAGACAGTTTCCAGCAGTTTCCCAAAAACTGCTGCGGTTATTCTTAATCGTGTTACAACTGTCTAGGACGATGAATATGGATATATACCACCATATTTCGTACAGAGGAGGTAGAGGAGTAATATCCAACATATCTCCATCACTTTGGCACTCAAATTAAAGATAACAATCCATATACTAACTAGTTTGGCTCTAGTTCTTGTGCCTAAGTTCTAGAGTGTCCTTAAGGATTATCCTAGATTGAATTTCTTGTAACCCAGGCATAGGGGAGAAATATCAATTCGGAAAGTGAACTTACACGATCCTTAAGATATCCAAGTACTCGAATTATCACCCCCTACGTGATTTACCCCAACAATCGAATTGATATTTCCTTTGTGATAATCATGAGTACCGTGGAAGAGATGACATCCAAGTTCAACAAATTGGACAAGTTTCAAGGCAACGATTTCTGTAGATGGCAGAAGAAGATGCACTTTCTTCTCACCACGTTGAAGGTTGTGTACGTGTTGAGCACTCCAATGCCGGAGGTGATGGAAGATGAAACCTTGGAACAAACTAGGAGGCGCAACAAGTGGGAGAACGATGACTACATATGTAGAGGCCACATCCTTAACGGTATGTCCGATGCGTTATTTGATATTTACTAAAACGTTGAGAGTGCTAAGGAATTGTGGAATTCTCTTGAGTCAAAATACATCGCCGAGGATGCTTCTAGTAAGAAGTTCTTGGTGAGTGATTTTAATAATTATAAAATGGTTGACTCAAGGCCGGTTATGGAACAATACAATGAACTCCTTCGTGTTCTTGGTCAATTTAAACTCCACAAGATAGGTGTTGATGAGTCCTATGCCGTGTCGAGTATAATTGACAAACTTCCACCCTCTTGGAAGGATTTTAAACATTCTTTAAAACATCAAGATGAGGAA